ATCTCGGGCCCAGCGTGTCGTGCACGCGCGTGTTCGCCTCCAGGTGCTGAGGCTGGAGGGGACGGGAGGACGGGAGGACGGGAGGACGGGAGGACGGGGGGGGAGGGGAATGAGTTGCGCAACGCGTGGGGGTTTGCATCGCAATAGGGGTCTGCATCACGACTGCGGGTCGCATCGTCATAGGGGCTCACTTTGCAATGGGGGATCGCTTTGCGTTTCGCGTTCCATTGCTGCGGGGGCTGCTTTGCAAAGCGGGGCTTTGCGTTGCACTGCGTTGCGTTGTAACGGGTTTGCTTTGCAGCGGGGCTGGGTTTGCAATAGGAGCTGAAGCGCAGTTGGGGTTTACGTTCCATTGGGAGGTCCGTTGCAAGGGGGATTTGCTTTGCTCTGCATTGCAAGGAGGGGTTGCTTTGCTTTGCTTTGCATTGCAAGTGGGGAAGGTTGCTTTGCTTTGGGGTTTGCTTTGCAAAAGGGTTTCAGTTGCAGTAGAGGTTGCATTGCGTTGCACTGGGGGTTTGCATTGCATTGCGTTGCACTGGGGGTTTCATTGCACTGGGGGTTGTGTTGCATTGCATTGCATCACACTGCACTGGGGGTCGGGTCGCTGTGGGGCTTTGCATTGCACGGCGGTTTGCTTTGTTTGCTTTGCATTGCAGTAGGGATTGCGCGGCTTTGCACGGCAGCAGGGGGTCGCATTGCACAAGGTTTGCATTGCACAGGGGTTTTGCTTTGCATTGCAGCGGGGGTTGCATCGCACAGGGTTTGCATTGGATAGAGGCTTTTGCTTTGCATTGCAGCAGGGATTGCACGGCTGTGCATTGCAATGGGGGTTGCATTGCACGGGGTTTGCGTTGCTTAGGGGTTTTGCTTTTGCTTTGCATGGCGGGGGGGTTGCATTGCACAGGGGCTGCATTGCATTGCATGGGGTTGCATCGGACAGGGGCTGCATTGAGTTGCACAGGGGCTGCATTGAGTTGCACAGGGGCTGCATTGCACAAGGGCTGCATTGCATTGCACAGGGGTTGCGTTGCATTGCACAGGGGCTGCATTGCACGGGGGCTGCATTGCACTGCACAGGGGTTGCATTGCAGTAGGGGAGGGTTGCAGAGCAGCTCGCAGTGCTTTGCAAGGTGCTGCGGGGGTGCAGACATCGCGGCGGGGTCGAGTTGCATCACTGCTTGCTTTGCTTTGCTTTGCTTTGCTTTGCAATGCGCCGCGGTGGGGCGCCACGTGGCGGGGGCGGGGCTTGGGGTGGGCG